AGGAGTAGTTGTAGTAGTTGTAGTAGTAGTAGTAGTTGTTGTTGTTGTTGTAGTTGTAGTAGTAGTAGTAGTAGTAGTAGTAGTAGTAGTAGTGCTAGTGCCAGCGGAGGTGTTGTTGTAGCTCGGGGCTCCCTGTAAGGAGCCAAGAGGACCCCTGGAGCTCACTGAATGCGCTGCTCAGAGCGAGAGCGCGTCATCGCTGAGTCCAGAAGCCCCCGAGCCACCACGGAAGGCCCGAACACCCGAAGCTCTCCCAAGTTCCTACAATCCTTTCATTCCTCAAAGTCCGGCAACCCTCGAACCCTAGACCCAAAACCCTTAACCCTAAGCTTCTGAAATCTTAAACCCTTAAGTCGTCAATGAGGAGACCTGGAGGATGAGCACCTGACTATCGTTATCCAGCAACTGGGCTAGGTTCATGCAGGGGGTTTAGGACCCGAAACCCATGACCCCTAAACTCCGGAACCTTCTTCTAAAGCTGAAAATCCGAAATCCGGGAACCCTAAACCTGCGGAGATCATGTGTAAATAATCTACCTTCTCGAAAATAGGCTGGACACCCTCGGCACTTTAGGATTTAGGGGTTAGGGGCTGCGGGTTTAGCCGGCTGCTGCCTGTTGTTGCTGACGCTAGTATTCCTCATTCATTGGCCTGGCTTGTCGGGGTTCATGGTTCTGGGTGAGCGTAGGTGCGCTCCACCAATCAGTTTCCAATCAATAACTAGCGACCTTGCATTGGTCCTGCCTCGCAACCAGGCGCTTCCACTACGATGAGCGCACCGCTAACCAGTCGACGGTGTCTGCGCAGCTGCGGAGACTTGGACTAGGCAAAGTATCAACAAATTTCCTGCTATGCAGGCAGGGAATCCTCAGTCCGTTCAACCAAACTGACTCCGCTTGCTCGGGCCTCCTTCAGTTTTGGAAGTACAGAAAGCTTGTGCTTTGAAGTCCCTGACTCCTGATCTTCATCCCGACATAAGAAAGCAACAGCACTCTCGGCTTAGTCCTCGTGAGAAAGCTCTCCGCTTCGCGAACTCGGTGGATTTTGGGGGGTTTAGGTTTTAGTGTGATGTGTTTTGATTTATGTCTTGCTTCATGCCCGCAAAACAAACATGGCAGTTCCTGTGCCCAGAAGCACGCGGCTCCTCGCGTAGAAGCTTGAACAGTTAGCCATACTGTTTATCACGGTTCCTTATTCGACAGCTGTACTACAATATTTCCTCCCAAAACCCTACGGACCATGCAAGCCCCGATAGCCAACCCCAAGATTTTAGATTTCCAGCCCCAATCTCTAGCTCTAGCCAAGCCTACACCCTACACCCTACACCCTATACCCGAACCCTAAACCCCTAAACCCTAGACCGGAAACCCTACACCCATCCCCCAGATCCGTGAAAGCTAATCGTTCCCCGAAGTCTAAAGCGGAAGCGGTAGAGCCACCTATAGCTCCTAAAACAAAATGCGCCGCAAGAGCCCGAAACTCCGCAACAAGCCCTGCACCCTCAAGCCCAAACTCCACAAACATGACCCTTATTCTGATTTCTTTATATAAGTCCTTAAAAAGGTAGGTTCTTCGGGGTCCAGGTAGACCCTGAATACTTCCATCTCGAATCCCCAGACCCCGAGAAGCTTACCGGTACTGAACTTCGAGGACTTACGTCAGCTCTTGCCGGCATCGTGGCTTTTGGGCCGTGCCTCGGCTTAGATACCGCTGTTCCAAATTTTTTGCAGAGTACTTTCGGGTTTAAGGTTTTGGAGAGTACTTTCGGGTTTAAGGTTTTGGAGACTACCCCTTAACTTAAGCCCAGTACCTAAGACCTTAAACCTTAGAATCGGGTTCCGGGTTTCGGGTTTAAGGTTTTGGAGAGTACCCTTAACTTAAGCCCAGTACCTAAGACCTTAAACCTGAAAATGTCAAGCCCTGAACCCTCAAAAAGACTAAACCCACAACTCGCATAAGCTTTGTGGGTCCTAGACCCTAGTCAGACCCTGCACGAGAACCTTGTTCTTTTTTTCGTAGAGTTCACAGCAAGAGCCAAAATCCTAAACCCTAAACCGTCAGCTCGGGTAGGAGGTTGGGGAGTTGCAGCATTGTTTTGGGGCTCGGGGCTTGAGGGTTGTAGTGGGTTTGGGTTTTGTGCTGTTGTATGGCTGGTACCCTTTGGGTTTTGTTGGCGATTGGAGTCTTGCCAGGGGCGAACCAGAGTTGGGGATTAGGGTTTCGGATTTAGGGTTCAGGGATTAGGGTTCCGGGATCAGGGTTCAGGGATTAGGTTTCAGGGATTTTGGTTCAGGGATTTGGGTTTGCGGTTCAGCAGCTCCGCTCCGTGAAGTGTTACAGTGAAGTTGTATGTACGGCTTTGATGTAACACCCACCCACCGACAGCATCGCATGAGATTGGGAAAAATGCTTTAGTTACCTTATGCTACATGTTTTGAGCTATCAACTTTCCTCGAGCTTTTTTTGCTGAGCAGTTCAACAATGAATTTCTCATTTAAACTTCAACGGATTCGGATATGCATTCATGTCGTTAGGTATAACAGACTAAATGTCATGAACGGTCCCATTGCACAACCTTGCCTCCTGTCAGGGAAACTGGCCTTATTCTGGAAACGCCTTGGGGTTCCGATCCTGTCAGGGAAAACTTGCCTTATTCAGGAAGCGGAAAGCATGCCTCATTCAGGAAATGCATTAAGATTTAACTTCATACAGCAGCTAAAAGAGGTTTAGGGTTTAGGGTTCAGGGTTTAGGATTTTTCTGTAAAGTTGTTAACGAAGGGGGCAGGGCTACACTGTGCCTACACGGTTTTGCAAGACGGCCTGCGCCCTCTTCCCGTTTCCCTACCGAACCCTTTGAGCCCGAAAGTAAACCCAACACTCCCATACCCACAACCACTAAAAGCTAAGCCCCTTCTCCTAAACCCCACTCCCCAAAGCTTTGTTTTGGGCTCAAAATCCCTTGCCCACCATGACAAAGCCCGCATGGAACCAGGGTGAGACGCTCCAAAACCGTAGTCGCTGTAGCAACACCCCAAATTCCAGACTTCGAACAGAATTCTTTAAACAGATTTGATTAAGCCCTTGCTAAACCTTAAACCCTAAAACCATCCTAAACCCTTACATAAAGCATCCAAGGCCGACAAGAAGGTGCACTGCTGTAAAAAGATCTCAGAGAGCTGGCACCTTGGCTCTATCAAAGAAAGCTCACGACAAGAGCTACCACAACACTACTACACGGCTACGAGGTAATATAGGGGCCTTAATAATTTCCTATAGTATATTAGGGGTTCCTTATTCTAATTTTAGTATAAATGGCCCCAAAACCCTATTCTAATTATTAAGGCCTTTACATTAGGGTTCTTAGGGGTTTCGGTATTTTTGTATTTCGGGCTTGGAGTCTTAGGCAACCGGCTGCGTGGCTCTCTCTCTGATTAAGACATCTGCGCTTTGCTTTGATATAGACGTCGGATCAACAAGTAACAGTATCCCATTGTAGTCCCTGTGCAGAAATAGACCGGAAATCCTATTCTAATTATTCGGGCTCCTATCGGGTTGGTCACGGGTGGCTGAAGACCATGTGGTAGCAAGGCCGCCTGGCCAGAAATGGCTTTACTTTAGAAGATAGAGCAAGCAGAAAAGCGTCTTCGAAAAGACAGCCCCAAAACCCTATAAACTCTTACCCTTAAAGAAACTTCCTAAACCCTAAGCTTCCTAAACCCCAGACCTTAGACTCTGATCCCGAGACCCTGCACCTGAAAACCCAAGCCCTAAAGCCCTAAAGCTTAAATCCCATCCCAAACCCTAAACTCTAAACCCCGAAACCCTTATAGGAACCCTATAGAGGCGCCTTCCACTCGAGACTGTTCGAGAACTTCTCGAGCCCTTGCATCTTGCTTCTCGGCCCAGGGATATGTAAGGCTTAGGTGTAGCAAGGATTATCATACGGGTTACTCTGAGGGTTATGTACTAGTAGTAGAAGTAGTCGTCGTCGTCGTAGTAGTAGTAAGTAGATGTCGGAACGGCAGCAGGAGGAGGAGGAGTTGTGTTGTTGTTGTTGTTGTTGTTGTTGTTGTTGCTGTTGCTGTTGCTGTTGCTGTTGCTGTTGCTGTTGCTGTTGCTGTTTCTGTTGTTGTTGCTGTTGTTGTTGTTGTTGTTGTTGTTGTTGTTGTTGCAAGAGTGAGAAGAAAAAGGGAGAGAACGATCAAGAATACGTGGGTGGTGATTGCACTACTACTAGTAGCAATACGATCGCAATAACAAGCCCCAATAACGCAACGACCAGTTCGACATCGGCATACCCACCACAACAGGAGCAACAACAAGGATAACGTCACGTCATTTGTGGTAAGGGTCATACTTAGGGCATAATGGTAGTTCGGGAGTATAATGTGATTCCAGCGGATCAATAGCTCTGGTTTCCTGACAACACCCACAACCCACGTAAATCTTGAACCCTAATCCAAGCTTCAGACTGCCCAAATATTTGCTTGGCCCAGGAGCAGTGCGATCAGATCGCCAGCGATTGGCGAACGGATCTTCGAACGGCTTCTTGCTCGAAGCAGCTTTCTGCATGGTCTTTCTTTTTAAACCCTCGATCAATCCTACACCTAAGCTCAAACCAACTCCACCCCCTCCCACCCCCCTCCTCACCCGCGGAACGCTGACTCTCCCGGCTTTCAACTCTAAGCGCTCCTCCCTTTGGTTCAACCGAGAGCGTAGGCGGGCTGAAAATTAAGAGTTGGGTGGTGAAATTTAAAGGTAGATCTACGGCTGGAAAGTATTTTTTTTCTCAGGGGTGAGGTGGCGGAGGGTCTTTGAAGGAGTTGGGGGGGCTTTCGCATGCAGTACTACAACGGTAAACAGAAGGAGAAGAATGATGGGAAACGAACAGTGGCGGCTGAGCTCTTCACGACAGGAGCCGGACGGCTGGCAGGAATGGGATCGGAGGAGTGGTTGGCACGACTGGAAAGACTCTCGGCTGCAAGTTCTCGCGTGGGGCGTTTAGGCATCTACCCTGACCCCTAAACGCTTTAACCCTACATCTCCCTAAACCCTAAACCCTTGATTTTTAGAACACCCCAAACCCTCAACCCAACCTTGTAAGGAACCCTGAAGAAATCTGAAGAACCAAGGAGTGATGGAGATGGTTTCAGCTTCAGCCGTTGAGCTATGTCCGTGTGATAACGGCTAGATAGGCCAGCACGGCAAGTCACCGGCACAAGACGCTTCACAGGCCAAAGTTTAGGGTTTAGGGCTTCCAGGGCTTAGGCACTTCGGTGACCATGTCGCGCAAGTATGGGAGGAGCCTTTTAAGGCAGATAGAGGCCTTGCCGCCTGCCATGGGCGTGACCCATGTGTGGGCCTTAAGGGTCTCACCTGTGGGCTGCTCTGAGATGTTGGGGGTCCAGGGTCGAAGAGGCCCTAAAGCCCTAGGGCAGCAGTCCTAGGGTTTAGGGTTTGGGGTTTAGGGTACCACAAGCCTAAGCCCGTGATGCCTAAGAGCCATCGTGCAGAGCAACCCACAGTTGCGGAGATCAGCCGCAGCTCGAAGGGCAGTGAGTTTGGGCAACGCAGTGCTCCGGAGTAGCACCTGTCTGTGTGGCTTGATATGGAGGTCTGCATAATCAGTCACAAAATATACCTGTAGTGAGATGTTGCCCAAAAGCCCAAGTTATTTACTGAAGCCCCGATATAAAACCGTATGCAACCGAAACGCCTAGCATGCGTAAGGAAAGCTCCGTGCGCCACCTGAACATCACAATCTCGAATTCGCTCATGTTTCTAGAGCCACTGCAGGCCCTGCAACCCCTTCGCGCTACAGGGGTTGCATGTAGGTTTCTTTTGAGAGTCCCTGATGTTATAAGAAGTTCTCACCTGAAGCTAGACACTATACCCTAGAACCTAGAACAACCACGACATAGCAGCCGCAGCCCGCTTGCTGGGTCAACGGCATCGATCCAGGTGCGAGTTTGTTTCAATAAAGCAGACAACCCTATGTCCACACCCTGAACCAGAAGCCGTCTTATCTAAATCCTAAAACCCCTTTACTTAAAAGATAAATCCCGGAGCACCCGAAGCCCAAATTCTGAAACAAGATGCTTTCGATGCAGATTCTGATCGGAGCGTGCCAGGCACCTGGGGCAAGCTTTCGTGTAAGCCGCTGCTTCGTGGATTTTGCATCCGCTAAGACATGCAGGCATGGTGGCTTTAGAGCTAGCTGCTGGTTACCTTGTATGCTATGGCACCCCTGATTTTGCCATTCTATCTCCCAAAGGCCATCTAATCTCGGGTTCATGGAAACCCCAAACCGGAGTAAACCGCTATAGAATACCTTGAATCTTAAGCCCTAAACCGCAAGCCTTAAACTTCCTAAGCCCTCAAAGAAAAATCCTAGGCCCACTTAAGTCAGGTCGAAGGGTTCTCCTGAGCACAACCATGTCGCAAACAACCGATGCCAGACCACACCAGCCTGAACCCTAAACCCTAAACCCTAAATCCCTTGCACCCTACATCCCCAACCCCAAGTTTTGAGGCGGGAGGTTCGGGCCTCAAGTTGCCCGTATGAGTTGGGGCGTAGTGTCTCCTTTGTGCCCTTCAGAACCCTTCCAGCTTTAGGAATTAGGGCTCTGCTGCGCTATACCCTTCAGGGGGCTTAGGGTTTAAGAGGTTCGGGGTCTCAGGTATCTTGCCGACATGTCTGAAATGTATCAACCTACATCTGACTACAACTGGTTGTAGATGTTAGACTGTTTAATGTTTTCCACCACACTATACCACGCCACCCGACATCAGGCGAGTCGAAATATGCGAGTCTACGGGTGGTTGTTACTGGTACATACTGGTCTGTTACAAGTATAAAATCGTCCGTCCGTCCTTCCGTGCGTCTGTCTGTCCATACGTAACGATACGTATGTACGCATGTATGCATGCATGTAGGTACGTAGGTATGTGTGTACGCATGCGTGCACACATGCACGCATGTACATAAAGGCGCCAAATGTGGAAGTATATTTTGCGCTGTCAGGCAGTACGACAGGGTGCCATATCACATGACAGCACACCAGTTTGCACAGCATGGCGCGGAAGCAGAAACAGTACCTTGTAATGCATCCAAAGTGCTTGCAGATGTTGTTATGTTCGGGGTGCACGACATAAGGGGTCGCGTGCAACCAACGGGCATGCCAAGAATGGGACCTCTTTAACTTTAAGCCTGAACTCTCAACCCAACCCTGCACCAAAAACGTAAACGCTTATCTAGTTTGTATCTGCTGTAACACCCAACATCTCAAGAGACTCCCGGATCGCTAGTCAGCTGCCAGAAAAAGAAGGTTTGCCTTGCAGCGAAGTGAAAGTATCGTCCGGCACCGCCTCGACGAAAGGGCTCGCCGTGGGCGTGCGACCGTTCTAGATTAGATGGTCATGGCTAGTCATGGCTTCATTTCAACGAATTGTTATGAGGTCCATCAATGGACGAGGGTCCAGGACGGGCAGCGACAACAGACGACGCTCTCCCACCTCACTGACATCGTAAAGCTTACGAAGAATGGACCAGCACCCTTTGCCTAAAGCCCTCCTGGGACTGCTCTCTTTTGAGGGACACGGGGATATTTAAAGCCGATGCCTCGAGAAAACCCGGTGTTTGACATGAGCTGGGTAGGTAGTATTATTAGGGGTATCCCTTAAAGGGTACCCCTTCTGAACCTAAACCCTAAACCCTAAACCCTAAAACTTATTGAGAGGGTCTATATCCCCAAGGGTCCCCCTAATCCTAGCTCCGGG